GTTCTGCGCCGGCTCCATCGACCACATCAGTGAGCGGGCGGGCGGGCGGGCGAGGGGGGCGAGCGGCCGCGCCCGGGCGTCAGCCCTTTGCCCCTCCCTCCGCAGGTATTCGGCAACTTCAGCTGGTTCTGCTCAAGGTGGCGCTGTTGCTCGGCGTCCAAGTTCACGTCAACGTGGAGTTCAAGCGCGTGCTGGAGCCGCCGCTCGACCAGCGACTCCGCAGTGAGCCTCCCGTCCGTCTCCGAGTCGGGCCGGCCGCGTCCTCCCTCGCCCCCCACCCGGTCTGTCTTCTTCTCGCCTTTCGCCGCACTCGCCGGTCCAGAGGTGGGCTGGACGCTGGAGGCGTGGCCAAAGTCTCACCTTGTCAATCGGCTGCAGTTCGACGTCATCGTGGGAGCGGACGGTCGCGGGAACGCCTTGCCCGGTGAGTCGGCCGCCGCCGCCGCGACGACGACGATTGGGAAGGCGGCGCCGTTGAGAATCCGTCCCCGCAGGTTTTCGGCGCAAGGAGTTCCGCGGCAAGCTGGCCATCGCCATCACGGCCAATTTCAAAAACCGAAACACTCGCGCCGAGGCCAAAGTGGAGGAGATCAGCGGCGTGGCGTCCATCTTCAACCAGCAGTTCTTCCAGGACCTGCGCCGGCAAACCGGTAAGAGCTTTTGCCGCCGTCTCTCTCGGTGGCGGCGGGCGGAGCCGAGCCAAGCGACCGCTCGCTTCGAGGCGCCGAAGCGATTCCCATTTGGCGAGAAAGGCCGGCCGGACGCCGTTTTGCCTTCCGCGCCTTCGGAATGAATGCTGTCCTCCATTTTGCCGCCGTCCGAATTGGAGCATTTCTCGATTGGGGGCCGAAAGACGAGGAAATGCCCCCCCCCCCCCCCCTTTTTTAATTAAAAAAAACGTATTTTCAATTGATAAGCACGTCAAGGGATTCGGGGATAGGGCCGGGAGTTGGTTCACTTTTTGGACGAAGCCATGACGGCGCGCCGAGCGAGTCGCCGAGCTAGTGAAGTTGACCAGGTCGACCTCGTTGGGGGCGGGGGCGGATTTCAGCCGCATTTCAAGTGTCGGCACATTTGGTTCCGCGCAGGTGCTCGCCTCTCGGTCAGGCGGGCTTCCACGGAGAGTTTGAAAGTGTTCCGAAAGTGGCGGCCGGCGGAAGCCGTTTTCAAGCGGTGCGTCCGACGCGGCGCCTCGTTTGGATTCGGCCGCCGGCCGCTCGGTGGAAAAAGGCCGCCTGACGGCGTCGGTGCTTTGCGTTGGACTCCCGGCCCTCGGCGTCCTCGGATTGTCGCCGGCGCCGTCGTCGTTCCCGTGAAGCCGGGCTGCTTTACCTTCCAGGCATCGACCTGGAGAACCTGGTGTACTACAAAGACGACACGCACTACTTTGTCATGACCGCCAAGAAACGCTGCCTGCTGGACAAGCGGGTCATCTTGCAGGTAAGCGTCTTCATCCTCTTTGCGTTTGGTTGCCGCCAAATCAAGCGGGGCTTCTCGGGCATCCCGGGAAAGCCTTCCTTCCTTCCTTCCTTCCGTAAGCGCCCGGTCGCTCCGTTTGGAGCTCGCTCCACCTTGCGCGCTTCAAAACGAGACGGCCGGCCGCCTTCGCTTCCCTTCCCACCCGGCCGGACGTTTGAACGCAGGCGTGCGGCTCGCGGCGCTTTGCCTCGCCTGAGGAAAGCGCGTCAAAGCGCCCGAGGGTGTCCCGTTGGCGCGAGGCCCCCCTCGCGGCGCGGCTTCTCATCGGGCCGCTTGCTTTTGTGGTCCGGCGGCCCCGATGCGGAGCCTTGCGCGTTTGCCGCATCGCGGTGGCGAACGATTTGCCGGCGATTCCCGGTCGGAGGCATTCGATGCGACCGGCGCGCCGATGGCCGGGGCGGGCCTTTTTCTCCGGCGGCAGGACTTTGCGGACAGCGAGCCGCTCCTCTCTCGGGGCAACGTGGACCAGCGGGCGTTGCAGGCCTTCGCCCGCGCGGCCGCCGACTTCTCCACCAAGGGCCAGCTGCCGTCCCTGGACTTTGCCATCAACCACCGCGGCCGGCCCGACGTGGCCGTGTTTGACTTCACGTCCGCGCACGCGTCGGAGAACGCCGCCGTGGTCCGGATACGCCGAGGGTACCGGCTGCTGGTGGCGCTGGTGGGGGACAGCTTGCTGGAGGTAGGTGGGGCGCCGACGCCGCGCGGGGGCTCGGACGGCTGACGCGTCCCTCCGTCCGTCCGTCCGCCCGCAGCCCTTCTGGCCAATGGGAACGGGCGTGGCTCGCGGCTTCCTGGCCGCCCTCGACGCGTCTTGGATGGTGCGGCGATGGTGCCAAGGAGATTTGCCTCTGGACATCCTCGCTGAGAGGTGTGCTCCTGTCCGTCCGTCTGT